TAAGGCATTTTAATCAACATATGAAACAAACTGATCTTGGGAGAAGCATCCTTCTTTTATATACTTCAACACAAAGACATGTTAATGGAATTTATTATTAATAATTTGTTGAACATTTTCTAACTTAACTTTATAACAAAGTACGAATACATGCAATCTATGCACCGCAGAGACAGGATGAATGTGCAACATACCTTCAACAATAATAGTGGAGGGTGACTGGGAAACCTCAGTATCCCGTGTCATGTTTATATTTAGAACGTGAGCTTCATCTTCTGCTTTCTTTCCTATCTACAAGAGAGAGGGGTAACTTTTAATGTTAGTGAAAATGAGATTAAATATATACATTTAAATAGGAAAATACATTTTACCTTGTTCCAAGATTATAATATTGATTTGGTTATTTGGTGGCTTAAAGTCTGTATTAAATTTGTTACAGAAAGCCCTCTGAGTGAGTTTTAAACAAGAATAGAAAGTAGGCTATCTTGCTGAGTGAGATGTGTGTAACCGAAACACTTGAAGGTGTTAAAAATAACTACAGACATGGCCAACCAGACTGCCAACTGCTCCGACGAACACATTTAAGCTGTATTATTAGTTAAGTCTTAAGGCTCCCATTTAACATGCAAACAACAACATGCACAGAAAATATAAATAACTCAACTAAAAGGACATTTGAAGATCCCTAAATGCTTTCTGTACTATATTACAATGACTTTTAAGATGACTTTCTTACCTCATTCTTGTTTTCTTCCATCGTTTCTCTTAGTTAAACTGAAAATTTAGATCCCTTGTTCATCAGTTTGTTGGTAAAGATGCCCAAAGTGCTGTGAGCCCCAAACGTTTAGGACACAGATACACAACTCTGCCAATCACTGCCTGCTTTATCTGCAAAAGCCTTCAGTGACTAAAATAAGCATGGCGGTGGATTGGCCAGCTGCTCATTCTTTCAAAATTAGTTTAGCCTGCATGGCTCAGCTAGAGATAAATGGAAAACGTCTCATCACTTAAATATTGTCCACATACCATCCCTGTTATAAGAGGGTTTTCCCTGTAACTTCATATTTAGGTATTAATACACACCTACAGGCAGGCAAAGAAGAGCTTAATGATCTTATTTTACTGACCTTTTCAATGTTCGTGACTGATAAATATTGTGGGTGTTTGACACTTTTTTTTGGCTTCAGCTAAGATTTTTGTTGGATTAGAAATGAGTACAGTTCAGTTTGAACAGTTTGGAGACAAATTTAGAGAAGCAAGGCTGACATAGTTTGGAAATGTGTACATGAGGGATAGTGGATGTACTGGACAAAGGATATTGAATATGGAGCTTCCAGGCAGGAGGAGAAAAGAAAGACCAGAGGGGAGGTACATATATGTAGTCAAACAAGACATAGGGCTGCTATGACAGAAGATGATTCTAGAGATAGAATGAGATGGAGGCAGGTGATCTGCTATACCGACCACAAAGAGAGCAGCCAAAAAAGAAGTATAAAAAGGAAGAGGAAGCTTTAAACTTGGGTGTGCCAGGAAAAGTTTTAGATCCATTGTATTAAAGGTGTAGTGTGTAGAATATCACCACTAGATGTCAGTAGATTGCAGATTGCAATCAACTGAGTTCTGTTTTCTTAACCATCCCAATTTAAGTGCATAATCCTAGCTATGGTGGCTGCTGTAGTGAGTGTAGGCTGTCAGTCCACTGTTTACCTTAGCTGTAAATATATGTCCATATCTATTTACTCTGGAGGAGGCTGTAAAACTGAAAGCTGATGTGAGCTGATGAGTCAGTGAAGCTCACTTCTGCCTGATGACAGCATTGCTGAGGTGAGTTGCTTAGGATATCCTGAACTTCCTGTCGGTAAGTGCTGCAGTTTTTTGCTGTTGATAGCTGCTGTCAACTGGCGCTATTGAAACTTTCTTTGAAGTGGATCTAACATTGTTGGACTCAAACACACAGCAAATAAACTCTAGTATGATGTGAAAATGTAATCAAACTGTTTAATAGAGGGAAAGAATTATTTTTAGGACACCTGAGCCTAAAATTATCTGGCATAATGTTGGGTCATCATAACCAGCTGGTTGTTCAGCTGGCT